TGATTTTGACCTGCAGTGTTTACTTTCTCTGTTCTGCCAACTGCTTCCTGGTCCAAGTATAGGTTTCACCTAAGCACAATCAAGTGTTCTGTAATTCCTATTCTTCTCAGAGTTAGCCACAGTTTGTTGTGGTCCACACAGTTAAATGCCTTTGCATAGTCAATGAAACACAGATTGACATTCCTTTGGTACTCCCTGCTTTCAGCCAAGATCTATCAGACATTGGTGACAATGCCATTGCCTCTTCTAAACCCAGCTTGTATTTCTGGTAGTTATCTCTTAATGTACTGTTTCAGTCATTTCTGGATAATCTTCAGCAATATTTGCTTGTGATATTAGTGATATTGCTTGATAATTTCCACACTCTGTCGGATCACCTTTTTTTGGGATAGGAATAAATATGGATCTCTTTGCGTCAGTTGACCAGGTAGTTGTCTTCCAGATTTCTTAGCACAACCTGGTAAATATGTCCAGGATAGCATCTATTTGTTGAAATATGTCAATTGATATGCAGTTAATTCCTCACGTCTTGTTTTTTGCCCATTTGTTTAGAGGAGTTTAACTCCCTCCTTTATCACTGTTGCCTCTTGAGTATATATTGTTTGATGAAATTCTTTTGTGTCAGATAATTCTTTTTGGTACAATGACTCTGTGTACTTCCTTCCATCTTCTTTTTGCTTCCTGGATCACTTAGTATTCTGCCCATAGCATCCTTAACTATTACAACTTGAGGCTTGAATTTGTTCTTCAGTTCTTTCAGCTTAAGAAATGCTTAGTGAGTCCAGTCCTTTTGATTTTCTGGCTCCTGCTTTTTGCACATTTCATTACAATATTTTGCTTTGTCTTCCTGTGCTATACTTGGAAATTTTCTGTTCAGCTCCTTAACTTCTTGATTTCTTCCCTTTGCTTTGGCTTCTCAGTGCTTTGGTGCAATATTCAGTCTTTTCTGACATCCATCTTGCTCTTTTCTTCCTCCTCTTTGTAATGACCTTTTTAAAAAATTGATATTTTAATCAAAGTTTATAGAAAACTTGGATTTTCATTCATTCATTATTGCACATTTTCCTCCCAGCCCACCCTACACCCCAGTTCGCGTTTCTCTTTGAAAAATAAAAAATTCATTGTTGTACAATTCCCCACCTCGACCCCAGTCCACTTTACTATCTCTTATTTTGAACTGTTGTCATGTAGATAATACCTAATGACCTTTTACATTTTTCCTGGATGGTATTTTTTACATTCTCCCACAGCTCATCTGATCTTTGTTCATTAGTGTTCGGGGCCTCAAACCTATTCCTGAGATGGTTTTGAAATTTAGGTGGGATAGATTCAAGGTCAAATTTTGAGTCCAAATTTTCTATTTGAGTAGGGTGTACCTTATCTAAGCTCTTGTATTTTCAGTTGCTTTCTGTGTGTTTGAATGTGGGATCATGAATAAGGATTACAGAAGTATAATTGATGCCTTTGAATTGTGGCGTTGGAAGAGAGTACTGAATATCCCATGAACCGATTTGTCTGTCTGACTTGGAGGAAGTGCCCAACGAGGTTTCTCCTTATAGGCAAAGATAGTGAAACTTGCTTAACATATTTTGGGCATGTTATCAGGAGGTACCAGTCCTTGGAAAAAGACATGCTTGGAAAGGTGGAAGATTAGAAAAAGAGAAGAAGGCCCTCAGTGAGATATATTGACTCGTTGACTGGCACAATTGTCTTGAGCATAACAGAGATCATGAGGATAGTATAGGATAGGGCAGGATACCTATCTGTTCTTCATAGGGTTGCAATGAGTCTACTTGACTCTACTGCACAGCAGCAGCCATCCAGGATTGCCTACCTACTGTGACCTTTGAGAATGGTCAGTAGCCAGCCACCAGTCTAGTTCTGGCCTCAGGGTAGTGGAAGTTCTTATGGTTTAGTCCTTTGGACTAATTTAGTATGCCTTTGAGTTTTCTCCCTCTTTGTTCCAAACAGGGAGAGAGACCAGTAATTGGACTTTAGGTGGCTGCTCACAGGCTTTTAAGACTCCAGTCACTGCTCACTAAAGTAGAATATAGAACATTGTCTTTGTGGAGTATGTTTTGCCAGTTGGCCTGGTGACCCCAACACTATGGTCTCAAGGTCACTTATCCAGCATTATTTCAGGGGAAAAATTGATACATTATATTTTAAATTTTAATTTCTTTAAAACATTGCTGTTTATATTTTTGTTGCCTCTTTGTATTTTTCTTTTATAATCTGCCTCTTTGGATCAGTTGCCTTTACTGATATTTTTGTCACTCTAATTCAAATAGAATGAGTTCTTTTTATATATATTTAACTAGTTGAATAGTTAATATAAGCTGTCAAAGCAATTGTTCTAGAGAAATGGTTGTCAAATTTTAGGGTGTACGTGAGGATCACTTGGAGAGCATGTTAAACTACAGATTGTTGCATACACCCTGAAATTTCTGATTCAGATTGAAGTAAGGCCCCAGAAATTTTAAGTTCTTATAAACTGCAAGAAGATGTTGATACTGTTAAAGAACATGTAAAGGTTAATTTCTTTAGAAGAATTTTTATGTTGAAGAATATTATCAAGTTTACATTTTATTAATAAAATATGATATAACAAAGTTCTCCAGTGACAGGTTATCCTTACCAGTGCATTTTCTAGTCGTAAGTTAAAGTCTCTCATTCATATTTTAGAATATTTTACTCTTTTTTGTTTCCCCCAAAATGAGCCCTGGTGACATAGTGATCAAGCACTCAGATCCTAACCCAAAGGACAGCACTTTGAACCTACCCATTACTCATCAGAGGAGAGATATGGCTGTGTGCTTTCATAGAGATCACAGGGCCTTGGACACCCTGGGCAAGCAGTATTACCCTGTCCTATAGGGCCACTGTGACTCAGTGACAGTAGTTCTTTATGTTTAACCAGAATATTTTCCCTATAGTTACAGCAACTAAATCCGTTTAAATATTTTAAAATAAGAAAAATATAGATATATGTTTTATTGAATTCCAAGAGTTAACATAGTACAGATTACTCTTTCTTTACATAACAATGTAAACCAGAAATTATTTTAGTCAAGTTTTTTTAAGTTTTAAGAGAACTAGAAAGAATGTATTAGTTCATTATATTTTCAAAAAACTGTAATGACAGTTTTTGTTTTTTATAATTGGTATCTTTTTAGATTCTTTTAAATGCAACCTTTTTAAAAGCTAAAGATGAATACAATTTTATTTGGAGATGTATGTGTATATTTAAAGTTCAATGAAACTTCATTTGCTTCAAATTAATCACTGTACTTACAATGTCTTCTTTTTTTTTTTAGATTGTAATGAAAGTTTATAAAGAACTTGGATTTCCATTCATTCATTGTTGCACATGCACATTTTCCTCCCTGTCCCCCTCCCCCCAGTTTGTAATGTCTTCTTTTTTAAAATTGGTTTTGTACAATCATTCATATACATTATGTTTTATAATATTAATTACAGTTGGGCACTGCCTTTTTATATCATCATTTCTCTTAAGCTCTCATGGTACCTTGCCTCTTCCTTCATTCTCACCATTCATCTGTCCATGAATCTCTGTTACTGTAGTATTTTTCTCCTTTATTTCTCCCTCACCCTCTTTCTATATGAACAGTTAAACACTAATTGTTCCCATATTGTCTGTTCGTCCATTCTTCCCAGAAGAAGATCCTTCCTTTTCCTGTTCCTTTGTTCATTGTGTATATAATCTGTTTCTGGTCTCCCCCATCCTAGCTCACTCCACTCTAGTCACCTTCCTGTTTTCACAGTAATAATCTTATACAGTATTTGTCTTTTCGTGACTTAGTTATTTCATTTTACTTAGCATAATGTCTTTAGACTCACTTTTTAATGATGCAGCGTATTCTGTGTGAATGTATAACAATTTCTCTATCCATTTGTTTGTTGATGGGCATGTTCTTACTATTGTGAATAATGCTGCAGTAAACATATGTACGTGTCTCAGCCTTGATTTCCTTGAGATATATTCCCAGTAATGAGATACCTGGGTGAGATTGGATTTCTATATTTATCTTTTTGTGGAAATGCCAAACTGCTTTCCATATTGGTTGTACTATTGCTAATGTCTTCTTAAAAAAAATGAGTGTGTAATTTAATTCTTTTGAAAAAACGGGAAGGTACTAGAACCTTTTTAGTGATCTTATTCTCAAGGAAATGGAAAAGAATAAAACTAGCATAGTTTACTTTTCCACTGTATGGGCCTTTGGGATGTGGTCTCTTCTCCCCCCTTTCCTTATGCTATTAGCATCCCTTAGTAAATAGTCAAGAAGCAGTAGTTCAGTAAGGGAAATGTTGTTAGGTGCTGTCGAGTCAAGTATAACTCACAACAACCTGATGAACAAAAGATCTGAACCCTCTTCTATCCTGAGCCATCCTCACACTTCCTATGTTAGTCCACCTGGTCTTTCTCTCCTTCGCCAACCCTCCAGCCTTCCCAGCATCATATCCTTCTCTAAGGAATAGCACCTCCTAGAGACATGCCCAAAGTATGTGAGGCTCTTGCCTACAAAGAGCACTCTGACTGTACCTCTCCAGGACATAATCTGTTGGTTTTCTTAGCCATCCATGAGATGTTCAGTGTGCTTCTCTAACATCACAGCTCAAAGACACTAAATCTTTTCTTGTCATCTTTATTCATTGTCCAGATATCAGATATCTGCATGGCGAGTAATCAGAAAGACTATGGCCTGAATCAGATGCACCTTAGTTCTCAAACGGAAATCATTACTCCTCAATAATTAGGAGATGTACCTAATTGCAGATTTTTCCACTGCAGTGTGTCTCCTTATTTCCTGATTGCTAGTACCAAGGGAAATATAAAAACAATTAATTTTCAAATGGAATCTAGAGATAAAAATGGAACTGTATACTATAGACTATAGAAAATATTCTCCTTATAAACTAATAAGTTGACAGATTGTGTTGTTTTTCTATAATACTTCAATTATGTTTTAATTTTTCAGGCCTTGAGCTGAGGGTTAAAAGTTATAATGTTGGTCGTGGACGTGGTTTGCAGAAGAAAATCAAACGCAAAGATCGTGGGCCAAGATCCAGTAAAGGCCCGACTGTTTTTCCAGGAGTGGATGATTTTCAGGAGGTACTGAGGGAAAGAAGGGCTTTTCTCCCTTTCTGTTTGTCTGGTTACAAAGAAAACATGGTTTCAATTCTTCATAAGTGAAAAATGTCTAGTTCAGATTAAATTTGTATAAAATATTAATTTTAATTAGTGATGATACTCATATATAGGTATAAGTTTTGATTATCTTAAAATTAAATGTATGTGCTTTTTTTAAAAAAAGACATACTCTCTTAGTCCTTAGCTATGTTATGTTTTCTTTGAGTCATGAGTCATCTTCCTATGGTACAAATGACAGTAAAATCTTAACAGCAAAGATGGAGGGTTGTGGTAAACTAACTTCGTCATAGAGTTGAAAGCACTGAAAGAGAAGAAAAGTGTACATAAATGGTTAGAAATATGAACATGTGTTCTGTGCACGTAGTTTCTGTTGTTGTTAGGTGCCGAGTCACTGTGACTCCTAGTGACCCTATGTACAACAACTCTGAAGCCTGCCCTGTCCTGAGCCAGTCTCACTGACTCTGGCACACATAACTCCATTGTCCTAGTTACTGAATCAATCCATCTCATCCAGGGTCTTCCTCTCCTGTGCTGTCTGTCCCTCCACCCTTCCAAGCATAATGTCTTTCTCTAGGACTGGTCTCTTCTGGCCACATGTGCAAAGAATGTGATACAGAGCTCATAATTCTAGCATCCAAGGAGAAATTTGGTTTCATCCTCTGCAAGACAGACCTATTTGTTATCTTGGAAATCTATAGTATGTTCAAGACTCTTCTCCAGCACCACAACTCAAAGGCATCTATTCTTCTTTCATCCTTGGTCACTGTCCAGCTCTCCGATGTGTAGCAAGTAATTGTGAAAACCATGGCCTGGATCAGGCACATCTTAGTCTCTTGACTGACATCATTGCTTTTCAGTACCCTGGAGTGGTCCCTGATAAAAGATTTTCATAGTGCAATTCATTTTTTGATTTCTTGACTGCTGGTAGATATTGAGTCCAATAATTTAATTCTAAACATAATGTGTTTCAACCTTGCAGCAATTCTTGATTATAATCATTTAAGTCCCTGATCTAGTAGCACTTGATTTAATTAGACAGAGCAAGAGTGTTTTATTAGAAGGTACAACCCTAAGAGACACCTAAGGAATAACTATATACTGTAATTTGAAATTTTTTTTGCTTTCTGAATTCTTGAGTTTAAAGATATAGTTAAGATTTTATTAACATAAATTTTGATCATCTTAAAATAAAATGTTTTTGTCATTAGGTGTGATCGAGTCTAGTACGACTCATAGAAACCCTGTGAACAACAGATCTGAGCCCTGTCCTATCCAGTGCCATCCTCATAATCTCTGACATACTTAAGCCCATTGTTGCAGTGACTGTGTCAGTCTATCTCGTAAGGGAGTCTTCCTCTCTTTCACTGACTTTCCATCTTTCCAACTATAATGTCCCTTCCCAAGAAATAGCCTCTCCTAGCAACATGCTCAAAATACGTGAGGTGAAGCTTCACTATCCTTGCTTCTAAGGAGTACTCTGATTGGTGTATTTAAAAACAAAATACATGCTAAACCAAATTCCCCACTGTCACCAAGTCTGTTCTAACTCATAACAACTCTTCATCAACATATGTATCCTCTGCTTTCTAATATTGTATGGCCTGAAAAAATTTATTTCAGAGTCAGTATAAATTTGTGAAACCCAGCATATGCTAATCTGCTCTTACACAATTGCAATTGACATTAATATATTAAGACTCTGAGAAGGCTAGGCATAAAAAAATCTATTTTGCTTTGTCCATCCTATCATTTTTCGATCTTACTTATTCATGAACTTTTTGTTGTTGACATATCTATAAATGTTGGTGAGCTACTTACCATGGAACAGCAGCTTTGGAAACATTGATTTAGAATTCCTGGACAATTATATCCTGCCTCTTTATTATCTTCTTACAAACCAGTACTCTTAGATAGAATGCTTTGCTCCCCTTAGTCAAAATTAATATGAATGCTTTCTAAAATGTTTGGAACAATATGTCAACAGAGAACTGCCAGATGTGCAGGCTGGATTTAGAAGAGATCGTGGTACCAGGGATATTACAGCTAATGATAGATAGATCTTGGCAGAAAGCAGAGAATACCAGAAGAATGTCTATCTGTGCTTCATTGACTATGCAGAGGCTTTTGACTATGTGGATCACAGCAAGCTATGGCCGACTCTGAGAAGAATGGGCATCCCAGAACATTTGATTGTGCCAATGTGAAACCTATACTTGGACCAAGAGGCAGTCATCAGAACAGAGCAAGGAGACACTACATGGGTCAAAATCAAGAAGTGGGTCCATCAGGGATGTATTCTGTCTCCATACCTTTTCAATCTGTATGCAGAACAGATCATCCAAGATGCTGGTCTGTATGAGGAGGAATGTGGCATCAGGATTGGTGGAAGAATCATCAATAAACCTGCGTTATGTGGATGACACAACCCTACTTGCTGAAACTTAGGAGGACCTCAAACCCTTGCTGCAGAAGTCAAGGACTGCAATCTTCGATATGGATTGAAGCTCAACATCAAGAAAACAAAGATTCTCCACCACATCAAGATAAAGGTAAATAATCTAGTAGAAAAATGGGCACAGGATATGAATAGACACTTCACCAAAGAAGAAATTTAGATGGCCAACAAGCACATGAAGAAATGTTCAAAATCCCTAGCTCTAAGAGAGATGCAAATTAAAACAACTATGAGATAATCATCTCACCCCAGTCAGAATAGCAAAATTTAACAGAATAGCAAGCAAATGCTGGCGAGGTTGTGGAGAAACTGGAACCCTTATTCACTGGTGGTGGGAGTGTAAAATGGTGCAATCACTGTGGAAAGCGGTGTGGTGCATTTTCAATAATTTGCAAATAGAGATACAGTTTGACCCAGCAATTCCACTACTGGGAATATACCCCAAAGAGACCATAACTGACACCTACGCAGATATATGCACACCCATGTTTATCATGGCTTTGTTCACAATAGTAAGGAGTTGGAAACAACCTATGTGACCATCAACAAATGAATGGATAGAGAAGCTGTGGTATATTCACACAATGGAATACTATGCTGCTTTAAAACACAGGAAACTCATGCAATATTATTCAAAATGGGTGACTATGGAGCACATTATGCTGAGTCAAGTATCTCAGTCACAGAGGACAAATGCTGCATGGTGCTACTGTCGTAAAACAGGACTGACATCGGGGTCCGGGGGAGAAAGATGGGTTCAATAATGTATACTGCATTGAAACAGATGAGGGAGAAAACTGTGTAAAAGGGATATGTGATTAGGTAATTTTGTCATGACAGGAGTCCAGAGCGAAGGCTACATAGTGGACTAGACCTGGGGGAGGGTTTGTAAAATAATGAAATAATTTTTCTTTTACTTTTCCAAGAGGGTAGTGTACTAGGGAGGAGGATTGGGAGGGGAGAAAAGTGCAACAATGAATGAATGGAAATCCAAAATCTCTGTAAATTTTCATTGAAATTAATAATAAATTAAAAAAAAACAAAAAAAGATTAAAAAAGAAAACAAAGATTCCTACCACTGGACCAATTTGCAGCATCAGTATGGATGGTGAAGAGATTGAGATAGTGAACAGTTTTAGTTTACTTGGTTCCATAGTCAACACTCTTGGTAAAAGTAGCCAGGAAATCAGGAGACAAATTGCATTGGGAAAGTCAGCTGTGAGAGACCTCTCAAATGTACTGAAGAGCAATGGTATCAGGCTGGAGACTAAGGTGCACCTGATCCAGGCTACAGTCTTTGCACTTATGTGCTATGCATTGGAGAGTTGGACAGTGAATAGGGATGATAGAAAGAGAATTGATGCCTTTGAGCTGTGGTGCTGGAGAAGAGTGTTGAATATAACCATGGACTGCAAGGAGAACTAACAGGTTTGACCTGGAGAGGGTGAATCCAGAATGTGTCTTGGAGTCAAGCATTCTGAAGCTTCATCTGACATATTTTGGGCATGTTGCAAGGAGTGACTGGTCCTTGGAGAGGGACATCATGTTTGGGAGAGTGGAGGGACGGTACAGAAGAGGAAGACCCTCCATGAGATGGATCGATTCTATGAGTGGAGTGGTGGGAATGAGTGTGTTTGAAACGGCAAGGTTGGCAAGGATAGAACGGCATTTAGGGCTCTTGTACATAGGTCACTATGACTCACAAGCGACTCGATGGCACATAACAATAACTGAGTATTTTCAAAGTTAGCTTCCAACAAAGTGTGATTTTACGTAAAACCAGGAGAAAATAAAATAGATAAATGGGACCTTCTAAGAATCAAATCTCTATGCACATCAGAAAACTACCCCAAACAGGTAAGAAGAAAACTCATAGGCTGGGAAAAATATTTGGCAATGGCATATCTTTTAAGGGACATATCTAAAATTTATAGAATCCTCAAGCACCTCAACAAGAAAAAGGTAAACAACCCAATCGAAAAATGGGAACAGGATATGAATAGACACTCCAGAGGAGAAGTTCACAAATCAAACAAACACATGAAGAAATGTTCAAAATTCCTAGCTATCAGAGAGATTGCAATCAAAACAACTATGAGATATCATCTCATCCCAGCAATGATAGCTAAGTTCAACAGAGCAGCAAACAACAAATGCTGGCGAGGTTGTGATGAAATTGGAACCCTCTTTCCCTGCAGGTGGAAGTGTAAAATGGTACAACTACTTTGAAAGGTGGTCTGGCACTTTCTCATAAAGTTGGAAATAGAAATACCATTTGACCTAGTAATTCCGCTACTTGGAGTATACACTACAGAAACCAAATCCATAACGCAAATGAATGTATGCACACCCATGTTTATTACTGTGTTATTTACAATAGCAAAGAGATAGAAACAAACCAAATGTCCCTCAATAAACGAATGGATAGAAAAACAGGAGTAGAATACTACACATAGTTGAAAAATAATGAAATAGTAAAACATTAGAAGTTTGGGGAGACTTGAGG